ATTATTTAATTTTTATTTAATATCAAATATAACATGATATTTTATTTTATTTAACACATCCTTTCATTGTATATTTAACAGTTTAGATTTGTGTTTTGGAGAGAGATACTCAGGTTTGACACCTACAAATAACCTCATTTAGATTATTGCAAGGTAGCAATGGCAAGTCACGCAAGTAAAACCTCACAACATTCATTTAGAACTGGAGAATCAGAGTTGACGTTTACAATTACAATGTTCTCTCAGTGGTTAGAGTTCAAGTCTTTAGACTTCAGGCTTTTACCTTTAATGAGAGTTCTCTGGAGGAAGGTTTAACCACTAGAACTCAGTGGTGGGCCCTGTAGCTTGTGTCCAAGATTGGAGGCAACCAACGGAATCTCAGTTCCATGTCTGCCTTCTCTCAGTGGATGGGCAGAAATTTAGGGTTTATATGTTTATTTGTCACCCGGGCTTCACATGACAAGGGCCAGTGTGACATCAAAGACTAGTATGTTTTTTTCTCCAGGACTAGAGACCAGCTGAATGAGACATCTTTTCTTCAAGATTAGAGATTAGGGAGGTTGTTTACAGATTAAAACATAAAGATGTTATGTTTTCTTGTGTCACAGCATGCTGGGTCAAAGTGAATTTACTGGCTGTGTTATTTATATATAAAGAGCATGCGTCTATGTCTAAGCTGAAAAATTTCTAAATAACTTTCTAGTGACTTATAGGTTTCAAATGACTTATAGTTAATGTTAGAGAGTCTCACAAAGGTAGACATAGTTTCTATCTAAGTTCATATTATGAGTGCTTATACATATGTATTTTGAAAGCTAATAGTGTTTTATATCTTATGGGATTTGAGATTGTAGAAACACGCTGAACAGTTTTGTTGCATTTCATTCATTCATTCATCCACTGACTCCAGTTACAGTCAGGTCCTATAAAAGACATTTCAGTAAGCTAAAGTTAATTAAAAATTAAGATCGTCACTGGGTTAGGAGAAAATGTCAAACATGGCAATATTCTCATTTGAAAATGAGATAAGCTAAGAAGTATATTTATAAAATATTAGGGATGAATTAATTTCCTTTAAAGCTAGGGAATTAAAATGATAATAGATTCTGGTTTGGAGTAAAATAATTAAACGTACGACAATGTGACTTTGAATACACCTTTTAAAGTTAACATAGAAACAGCCTAGAAAACGGACGGTTCTGCCCTCTCTCGCTATTGAATAAAGTGTCTGGGAGAAGCCCAGCCTTCTCCCTCGTCTGTAGTCTGGACAGTGAAGAGAAACGTTTTTCTCACTGCTGACTCAGCACCGGTTTAGTCTCGAAGCGCCCGCGGATCCCTACCGGGGGCGGTGGGCCCGGCAGGAAGCAAAGCTCCTGATGTCGCCGTGGGAGCGGCGCTCAGGTCGGTCCCGACCGAGCCTCAGGCGGTTCCTACGCTCGGTGGGCCGGGAGGGCAGAACCTGCGGTTCTCGCGCCCTCTCGCGGCCATCCGCCAAATCGCTGAAATTCAGTGTCAGATGATTCTAAGCAATGGTTTTGGAAGTTGAAACTTATGTTGGGTACATCAGCTATCCCGTGCCTTGATGGGAACCGTAGAGACAATAAGAAGTAAAGCACGAGCTCAATATTCAAAAGTCCATTGAGTGTTAGAACTATCTGGAGGGAGGAAACAGGCGGAGAGCGAAGGGGCACAGAGACAGAGAAGGCTGGGCCTCCTCTGGCCTGGACTCTGTGACCTGCTGGTTCCATCTACCCGCCTCCTGAGCAGGGCTAGTTTAGGATGAATGAGGAAATATTTAAGGCATGCCAAGAAACTCGGTGGTCTGGACTAATAATACTTTGAAATGTACGTGTACTCCCCAACTTAGGACATATTCGAGTTACTTCAAACCACAATTAAAACTTTTTTTTTTGTACATCTTATGGTTTGTAATATGTACTGCATGCAGTGTTGCAGCGTGTAATTTGCTGAAGTTACCATTCTCAGATGTAATGTTTCAAACCTCCAAAGACAAATAAAGATCTGATTTATAAAGATACTGATAATAAAAGGCAATAATAATGAAAACTAAAGAAAAAATGAGGTATTCAACTTACTTTAGTACGAGTATCGGTTGGAAATGGAACCCCATTGTAAGCCGGGAACTACCTGTATTTTGAAAGTTAAAATTGGTGAAAACAATCCATGATAAACAAAATATCAGAATTTTAGAGACAAGATCATTCAGTAGGTCAAAGTCAGTTAAAAATTATTGAAGATTGTCGCTTGGTGAAGAAAAACGAACAGACTTGGCAATTCTCTCCATTAGAAAAAAGCCAAGTAAAGAATTGGATTTTCATAAGATAGTAAAACTTGCAAAAGCTGAAACTTGTGTAAGACAGAAACAAGTCAGAGAAGGAAAACTCAAATATTTCCCACTAACAGAGAGGGATAGAAAAGCGGTAAGACTACACCCGTCAAAGGCAGAAAACTTGTGAGACCTGGAAAAACAATCCTGTTGAATTCCAGCTCTCACAGGTTTTATTGTATTGCTGATGAGTTTATTTCCATTAAAGCCAGGAAAGAAAATTAAAACAAATTCTGGCTTTGGTATAAATAAATTACTTAAAATAATGTCCTGAGTTTTAATACATTTCTTTTTCAAGTTATTTTTTCAACTGGGGTTTAGGGGCTGGGATTGAGGTTCAGGATTAGGGGTAGGTTCATGGCCATGGTTGGGGCCAGGACCAAGGCAGGTGCAATGGACATAGTAGAGCCAGTGGCATGGTCAGGTCCATGGCCAATATCCGGTCAGAGTCAGGGCCAAGGTCAGGGACAGGGGTTGGGTCAGGGTCAGGTAAGGGTCAGGTCAGAGCCAGGGCCATGGTCTGGCCAGGGACCAGGACTAGTGTCATCTTCAGAGCCAGGGCCAGGACTAGAGTTAAGTCTAGGGACAGGATCAGGGCCAGGGTCAGTCTAAGGGTCAGAGTTAGAGTCAGGTCCAGGGCCATAGCTAAGGTCAGGTTCAGAATCAGCCCAGAGCCCGTCCCCAGGTTCAGGGTCAAGGTAAAAGTCATACCAGGGGCAAGGCCATAGCAAGGGTAAAGGTCACTGTCAGATACACTTTCAGCACCTTATTCAGGGCCAGGACCAAAACCAGGGCCAGAATCCAAGTTTAGGTCTGGCCAGCTTCAGATTTAGGGCCAGGGCCAAGGCCGAGAGGAGCAGTTTTGGATTGTGCTTTCAAGATAACAAGTTACAGAGCTTTGTCCTCAATGAAAGGTGGTCCCTAGAGTTCCCAAGGGACAGGAGAGCCTGATGAGAAACATTGAGGGCCTCTAGCCCATGATTATGCTTGAATAGTTTGCTTGGCAGCTCCCTGTAATGGAGGCACTATTTGAAAATGTTCATGAGATCAGAAGTCAAAGGCAGGTTTGTTCCCACTCAGGCAGTGACAGACCAGAGAGTCCAGCTCCAGCGATAAGGTCTGTGCAATTCAGGCCTACCTAGAGAGAAAAGAATGTTCCACTGCTGGCCACCTTCTCACCTGCCCTGTGGCACAAGGTAAAACTTCTCCACCCAATTCTCTTCTGATGTTTCTGTGTTCTTGGGAGCTTCTGCCTTGAAGACAAATGGAGAGGAAAACCGGCTGGATTGTGCTGGATTAAGGGGCAAGTTATATGAGTGGCCACCTGGGGTGTGAGACTTAATGGGATGACAAATATGATATGTGTCAAAAATTTAATTTAACTAAAGTGTTATCAAAACATATAAATATCAACTAGTTAGCATAACTTTAATAGATGTTCCCAAGCTATGTGCCTTTGAGTACTGGTGTAAGTAGGGAGCATGAAACCTTGCTAGAGAAAATACTCTCATATTTAAACCAATCACTGTTTTAGTCTTCCACGAAAAATACACCACTATGCTGGGCACCTCCAGACAACTTAGGATCCGGGCATCCCAAGCGGGAGCCTTGGGAGGGGTCTTGAAAGCAAGTGGGACAGAAGTGGGTATGTCACTGACCACAGCACCAGGTAGACTGAAGAAGTTGTCAGGAAAAGTTCCTTGACAAGGGATTTTTCTTTCGTTTTTATTATTTTTCTTTTTAGTAGAACAAGAAGAAAGTTTTATTTGGCACATATTCAAAAAGGCAAAAGTAGGAAGGGGACAACCATGCTGCCAGAGCCATGTCTGCCAGAGTCCAAGGAAATATCACAGAAGAGACAAAAGTGGGAAAACGGACAAGCATGCTGCTAGAGCCATGTCTGTCCTAGTCCAAATAATATTACAGAATAGGCAAGAATGGGAAAATAGACAAGCATGCTGCCACAGCCATGTCTGCTCGAGTCCAAAGACAATTACAGAGTCATCAGTATATATTAACATTATAAATGGGCAAAACCATTGAAAGCTTTGCCTTTTCACAGATTGGCTAGAAACTGTGATCCTACATTTTGAATTGTCTTTCTTAACAATCATTGGTATAGGTTTCAGTAACGACAGTCAGGAAGGTCTTCATTGGTCCAACAATTTTCTATTCACTAAATGTTAATAGAAAAAGATAAGAGTGAAAATTCTTTTGTGTTCTATTTGATTAGCTTTATGTGAAAGTTCCCTAAAAGATATCTTCCATGATTATCTTAGCTATTGTCTTTACATCCCAGGGCCCAGATGATGTGTCCTTGTGAGCCCAGCTCCAGCTGGGTCACATTCTCTACACTCAAGGACAGGGAATAATAACTCCAGTATTATTTCCTAAATCATTCCCTCCTTTTGATTGGAGATTGGAGATAATACATTGATGATCAATACCTTGACTTATTTGAGCTCCTAGATGGTGGCCATTGCAGGCTCTTTAAATGCATGGTGCTAGTTTTCCACCAGATACCATCTGGTTGTTCACCAGGTTGTTAGGTAAGAGATATTTTCTCATCAACTGCATTGCTGGAGTGAGCAGACGCAATATACATCAACATTTTAGCCTGAGGCCTTCTTTGCCTTTTAAGTGTGTAAGACAATAGAAGATAAATTTTATTATGCCTAATACTATCGGGATGCAGACTAAGAATATTACTATCCCTTGCAATACTGATCTAGCCCATGTACTTATTCCTGATGGTAACCAACAAACAAATCTGGTATTTGTAAGAGTATTACAATGTGTAATCAAGTAGCTTGCTGTCTAATTCTATGTATATCTTGTTCTACTTCTCCTGTGTTATTTATCCAAATGCAACAATAGGTATTTGCTACAGCACAGACTACACTAATAAAAAAATCTAAGGCTATTTCGTTATCTCATGTCACCTTGATTTATGAGATCAGACCTCAATGTTGTGCTTCCATCCCCTTAGCAACTTTGTCTGCTATTTGTCCCATAGTGACTGACAAATTTTCTTAAAGATTTTTCCAACTCAACTACACTATAAGTAGGAATTAATGCTACCAACCATACCCTGAGTGTTGTACCAATGGGTTTTTTTTATGACTCTTGTTTTACAATGGGTAACAAATTAACATTACCTTTCCAGTATTTACTAGCATCATTACTATGAATATCTAAAGTAATCCTAGAGTTCTCAAAGTGCATTGCCCACACATTAGACAGGAATCTAAATAAGACACTGCCCACATAGATTCACTATCAGTTGGAATGGGATTATCTAAATTAGTATAGTTGGATTTACCACACAGAAACATATATCCATAAGTGTTACCGCAATAAGGGGGATTGGAGCCGCCTGCTGCAATAGCCAGTCCTGAGACAGGGGTGAGGTGAGCAGCAAGAGTTTTATTATATATCAATATATAGGAGACAGAGGGGAATAGATTCCTCCAAAAACCTGTCTCCCCCACTGGAGATCAGCCAAAGGCTTTTATACGGAGAGGATTATGGGTCTTAGAAGTTTGTGTTAGTTCCCCCTTGAGGTGGTCATGTCCCAGATGAGTTAATCTTTTCTTGGGGTTTATCTGGCAACATCCTGGTTTTCTTGTCCCAAGATGGATGCTTTGTTTGGTTTGTCATTCCTAGATCATTATCACTTGTTTCCCACCCTCCAAAGAGGAAGATTAGTTAATCTTTAACTTTTTATAGAGACTAGAAAGGGAGGGAAAAACAAGATCATGAGACAATGCGGCCAGAACTATGCAGCCTCTTCCATAAGGAACACTCAAGTTTGTCTAGAGGAAACAGAAAAATTTACATGTGACAAACAAGTTTTCATTAGAGAACTAAAAATTAGCAAGATAATACAGGACTGACCTCTTATATTGGAGGTCTTCAGTTAATCTCTTTAAAACACACTAAGTGTTCTTCTCTGAGGGCAAGCTGCCCCTCCTTGGTTTACCTATTAACAGTCATGGGCCACTTTCTCAGAAACAGAAGAAGAACCTAAGACAAAATGGAGTCTGAGCCATGAGGTCGATCTCCTCTGAGAATCTGATATCTTTAAGATACATAATTTTCTGTATAGTAAGAGAGTGACAGTTTGATTACAAACATTAGACAAGTATTTCATATGACATTGCCTTAAAGACTGA